CCTGGGCGGCGGTACATGCATCAATGGGCTCAACATGTACTCCTGTGACTGTCCACCAGGCTACAGGTTAGTACAATTCATCTGTAGACATTGGAAGTCCCCTCAAACCAGTCATCAGTATCATTATGTCCATGTGAAGCAAGACCATTGTATTGGTTTGCTGTGTGTTTCTGATTACAGTGGCCCTGAATGTGAGCAGGATATCAATGAATGTGACAGCCACCCTTGTCAGAATGGAGCTCAGTGCATTGATGGTGTCAACCAGTACCAGTGCAGATGCAGACCAGGATTTGTTGGCACATATTGCAGCCAGCGTAAGATTTATGCATTGGTTTCTCGATTCAATCACCTTGCTTGTTACAAGGTTGAATTCATCCAAATAGCTCACATTGCAGGATTTCTCCAGCATGCAGAGATCTACAATAAATCACTACTGACAGGATGGTGTACCGAGTGATCTACTCTTTGTAATGAAATAGACGTATGTAAATTTTGATTATTTGTGATGATTTTGACAAGAAAACTGGTATCATCTGAATGGGCCACCATGTTGCCATCAGCTTGACTTGTCATTTATGGCAAGTGATACTCGAGTAATGCTTTGTTTCTGAGGTGCAATTGTGCACGGATGCCATAATGCACATCATTTTTGTCATCTCAGATGCACAGTCCAATTTCGACATGGCGTTCAGAGGCAGTCATCCAAGTCAGTACATCACTTTACCTCATGCCATTAATGAACCACTGCGAGCATTCACCATAATGATGTGGATTCGCACAACGGCAACTGAGGGGGTCATACTGGCCTATACAACCCACATCTCTGGGCAAACGCTGGATGATGCACAGTTTGCCATCAGCAATCCTGGGGCATTGGAAGTCTCCATTCGAGGGTAAGTTCCTTTCGTCTGTCCCCTCCCCTTCCCCGTTTGAGGGCGTGTTGTGCTGTTCTCTGTTAATTCCATTGGACTGAGATCAGGGATCATTACAGATACCTGCTGTGATCAGGGGACATGTTTTAGCAGTTTTTAGTCGAACCAAAGTCCCACTTACTTATGAGTAGGGTACCAATAGATAATAAATGTAAAGAGAAACTACCTAACCAAGAATGGAGTATTTTTTTACCCCGTCATATCCTGTACATTTAGCAAGGTTGTACATAGAGAGAGTAGTGCCAACTTCAGACTTTCGAACCAAAATGGCTGTGCACTGTGTGTGCAGTACAGCATGCAGCGGTAGTGTACAAATTGCCTGTGTGAACTGATACATAATCCACCATATTGGTTCCAGCAATTGAGACACACATGTCACAACTCACTATAAACAGCTCTGCTTTAAAGTGTTTTACCCTGTGTCAACTCAAAATGACTGACTGTAGCAATGTGATATCGAAAATTGTCAGCACCAAACTCGAAGTCATATTATTTGATTACAAAGCAATATCCCTGTCTGTGCTTTTAGTTTTTATGTGGGATTTCCAACAGAATGTTTGAAGTGAGAAAACTTTAAAAATGGACCCAGATATCCATCATTTATGATACTGTAAAATGTACCCATCAAAGGCATCAAGGATAAATATCCAAGATTTCTAAAATTTATTTGCACTGTCATTGTAATCTACACACCAACGCTGACTCTTGCACGATATTCAGTTCTGAGATGACCTTACCTAAAACCAGGACTCAGCACTGAGCCTGAAATTAGGCAATGTTGAAAATGTTCCCCAACTTGGGCCCACATTCTCAGAGTTTGAAGCAGATGTTAGGTCTTTTATTCCTTTTCCCAAATCACTCAATACTGAACTTGCGGTATTCAGGCCGGTGCAAATTGGAAGTAACTAGGTTTGCATCAGCAAGTTTCTAGCCTATCATCTATTTACTCACGTACACAGTCAGAAATTTATGTGTTAGTGAACAATGCACAGAGTATGTGGAGGACTTTAATACCGTGATCATTCTATACTGTAATATTGAAACAAACACCTGTTTGTAAAAGCTGCGATTGTTGTCGTCTAAGAAGTTTAATATAAACTTAATGTAAATAAATGTTGGGCAGCTGAGCAACTTTTCATGAAATCAGTCGTAGATACGATGTGTTGTGTAGCTAAGGCAGACATTTTTGTGGCAGAAGGCTTACACAGCATTCCTTGAAATCAGCTGCCGGTTTGCAGGTTTCCAGCCTATTGTTTAAGTATTTACTCATGCACACAGTCAGAGTGTGGAGAATATGCAGTGGATTTAGCATTCTGTGCTGTGTATTTTTGTCTTCATGGCTCAGGCATTACTGTTCCTCCTTCATCTCTGTGAGTGACGACCATTGGCATCATTTGGCCATCTCATGGGATGAGCATGGTGGCATCCTCAAGATTTACAGAGACGGGCAGCTCAGGCTGATACGCAAGTCGATGAGTTCCGATGCCAAGATCCACGGTGGAGGGGAGTTCATTTTGGGAGAGTTACGTAATTCTGGTGAGCACTGTTTGACGGTCAGTGTGGCTTTATGTGGCTGCCGTAGGTCCTTGCTTCGTTGTTTACTGCTTTTGCTCTTAGTGCAGGTCCCAGTAGGCTGGGCACTCACAAGTGGAACCTTTTCAGTCATTTGTTTACAAGGAATTTCTTGGTTCGTCTTGATTTCAAACTGTGCATTAAACTGGTAACCAGCTCTTGAAGTCTTTACTGAGGTGGTACCGTACTTGTGTGTAGGTTTTACCAACTGTGGTCAGTGCCTTTTTGACCAGTAAGGTGATGAGGTGACTTACCAAAATGAACACACTCCTCTGGTTTTGGAGCTTGGAGCAAAGTTCATGATGTCAATTAGCTCCAAGTGGGAGAGGGCTGCAGACCTAATTCCATGTGATGTGTAACCATGTAACAAATTCTCATTCCATACTGTGTTTGTTGAACATGGGAATTTACTGAACGCTTTCAGTATACATGTAGTAGACATTTGACAGACAAATGATTTGATTTCCGTAATGATGTTTTTTTTAACTCATTGGCAGACAATACCAAGTCACACTGTTTCACTGGTTCCCTGAGTAACGTGAACCTGTGGGACACAGCACTGATTGCTTCCGTTATTCAACAGCACGCTCAGACGTGCGGCTTTGTTACCCCTGGCAATGTCATCGCAGCAGCTGACTTCATGGACACCGTCTTCATGGGACAAATCCAAATTGTGACTCCGTCAAAGTGTGACTGTAAGGACTTGGATCTGTTGAGTTTATAAACAGTTGTTCTCTTCATTGATATTTTCGGCAGATCAACTGATCAATTTAGTTAAAAATTGATCATTCAGCGGCATGTTGAAATTTTACTGTAGCAATTGATGACGGTGCATTTTGCAGGAAAAATTTACATGAGTCATTGGAGCAGTTGGGAAATTTATGACAAACAATTCAAAACGTAAAATCTTATCGCTTCCTATTGGAGGTGTAAATACAAACCAGCAATGCACATTCCTTGGGGTGGCTGACGGAACCAACTGTTGTGAACAGGTATGCTCAGCTCTTTTATATACATACAACGTCTGGGAAGTTTGTGGAGGTAGACTGTGTGAGTGAGTGTTGAACTAGACCATTGTTCACAGCCTGCTGCTAAATATTGCTCTGTGACAGGGCCTTGAAGTGTTCCAAATGATGAGATTCGAGTGGGAAATACGGTACAAATGTTATAGAAATGAGTCCCCTGTGGCCTTTGACTGTCTGTAAATAATTGGCTGATATCTTGCCTATTTCAGAGGTCAAATTTTTTACCCTAAATAACTATTAGCGAATAGTTAGAATCACTAAAAGAAATGGAACCTTTTGAACTTCTTCTCGGTCCAGCGGTGGATGACTGTGCCAGCAACCCTTGTGCTTCAGGCAGTACCTGCATTGATGATGTCAATCAGTTTATCTGCCAATGTCCCCTGGGCTTCACTGGCCAACGCTGTCAGACAAACATTGACGATTGTGGAACAGACTCCAGCCCTTGTGACAATGGAGGAACCTGTGTGGATGGGATAGGTACTTTCACCTGTCAGTGCCCACTGGGGTTCTCAGGACAAGTCTGTGAGCTGAAGAGAGGTTAGTTGTTGGAGAGAAGAAAAAGTGATCTACCAAACTGTGCAAGAGCATCAGGAGGATAGGTAGCAGAGCCAGAGATGGGTCCTTCTGTAATGTTTGTCAGTGAATGCGTTTCATTACAGTACAATTAATGGTGAACCAATAATTGATGCACGTAGATCCAGATCAATTTCCTGAGCAGGATTTGAATCAGTTCAGTTTATGAAGGTCCATGCACATGTTCTAAGCTCGTCCATTTGCAGGTTTGAATGTCTTATTCTGACGTACCCAAACTGTATCAGGAGACCACCTTCTTCCTGTTTTCCTAACTCAACATGAAAGATTTCAATCTCTGTTTTATCCACCCCTAGTTGATGGAAGATGGAGTGAGTGGACTGAATGGAGTGAGTGTAGCCGGTCCTGTGAAGGTGGTACCCAGACCCATCACCGGTCCTGCACCAACCCCCGCCCAGCCTATGGAGGTAGCACCTGTGTAGGTCCTACCAGTGAGAGCCAACAGTGTAATACAGGACCCTGTCCAAGTAAGTGCAGTCAACACCCACCGTATTGTAGGCCTGTGATCTGTGTGTGGGTCCAATCATCAAGGAGCCCGGGGGGGGGGCACTTTTGTCGGTCACATATGTTCATGCCCCTCACTTAGTTGGTGTGCATGCATACTGAGTCCCACTACAGCCAGAAGTCAGTAATATGGCTCGTTATTCAGGCAGGTGGACCCCAAAAGTAATCGATCAACATCAAGCTCAGATATTGTTGTTTGCCCCTCATTTCCATACTGATTCCAATTTAAACACTCAAAGTCCCTTTTGCCAACTTGCACACTATAAAAATCAGTTTCCTACCAAACGTTTGCCCATCTTTCAATTGCTGCATACCTCCATAGTAACAGTCAGAAGTTGGAACTGAAGCCAACATCTTAGCTGGTTTTGCTGGGTTTTCCCTGGATTTTCTCTACTTGTGAATGGTGAGGAATGCTTTAATGAAAAAGTATCATTCAAGAAGGAAACCGTAGGAATGAGAACAGAAAGTTTTTGTTTTGCCTTTTAGTCGGGCAATTTGACGTCATTTGTACATATTAGTGCAATGCAGTAAAAGACAACTTGTACCAAAATGCACTCGTATGGAGGTGTGTGTGCATGTACGTGTATGCCATGCCCGAAATTCGGACATGTCATTTTTGACCGCTGTCGACCTCATTGCGGAAATTTGCATCCGCCTTAAAAATTCATACGTTTTAGACAAATGGCTCTCGATCTTGAAGAAATTAACTGACGGATACAAATGATCCATCAGCCTTCCAGACAGTATCACCAATGATCTGAGGGGAATTTGACAAAAGTGTGAAAATTTGGTACTAAGTAATGTGAAAAACACGTAAAATGACGAAAATGATCAGTCTCAATGAAAAATGAAGTGAATTTCAAAAAGTTTTTTACCTAGAAGTAGTAAACGTTTTGGCTCATAAGAGTTACTAGTTTCATGTGGCATCAAAGTTATTTGAAGGTAAAGCAGACAACATTGTGAAAATTAGACACTTAGTTAATGTTGGTAAAAATTATAATATTTTCATAATTATCCTTTGTCGTAAAATTGACATTTTCCACTTCTTTGATTATTTTCCGGAGATCTTTTTTACCAGAAGCTATTAAATATCACCATTTGATAGATTCCTGGCAATGTATTCACACACGAGGTCTTCAAGGGAAATGGCAGTACAAATCCCTCACGTGGGTCACCACCGATATGCATCGACTGCTAGAATAATTTTTCAGGCCGACGACCATATGTCACTATTGCACTTGCACGAATAAACAAACTAAATGCACGCACAGTCTGTGGGGACCCAACAGACATGAGGTACAACCACTGAGGGCCAGAGTTGTGTAACTAATTGAAATATCTCTGATTGCAGCACAAGCCTCAAAAGACATTTTCAGTATGCGCAGGAATAAAGGCAAGCTTTAATTTGATAACAAATCATTGGATTTTGACTATTGCCTTTGGAGAAAATGAATGCTATGTTCAAGAGGGATTTTTCCTTTTTTGGGGAGGGGGACATGTTTATAACATTAGTTATTTATTAAAGTGATCTAAAATCCAGTTGTAGATTACAAGTAAAATGAATACTGTATGATGTGTGCTCAAGATCAGACCATGTGGAAAGTGACCCATAATTTGACCTTCTAATCAGCATATAAGGTCAGTTCTTGAGAGCAGCATATTCAGACCATGATCAACAGTCCTTAGCACAGATCAGATGATGTCCTCTGTATCTACACGTACCGATATGACTGTGTCTCTCTGACCTTTTGGCCACAAGTATATGTAATTTGTTCCTGGGGAAGCAGTACAATGTGTCAGCTTATCTTGGTAACAAAATGTGATGCTGTAAAGGTGAATGTGCACAAATCTAGGGTGTTTCCCTTCTGTAACCAAATGCAATTAAATAAGTTTTCAAACAAATTTACCTGGAGAATGAAAAGAAAATTATGGACTTGCAGAGCAAGGGTGTTTTGTCCACAAGCCTTATGGCTAAAGGCCAAGGCCTTACAATTAAGCCTAAAGGCAGCTTTATAAGGCCATGGCTCAGTATCAAGGTACCATATTACTGGTGGCTCTGATCTTCTAGTAAGAGGTGGTCCACTAACTCAGACCCAGTCTTTTGTACAGGAACCTTTGTTCAGAGCAAATGCCACATGTGTGTGACTTGGTTTTTTTCGTGTTATGAAGTTCCAAATGGCATTCATCTGGATCAATACATGTATGATTAAGTGTCAAGGACAGAGGTTGTGAATGGAAAATAGGATGAAATGTGACAGTCTCGTCCCTGGCTCTTCCATTTTATTTGAAACTTCAAAGAGGGGAATAGATGTCAGTCTTGAAATGAGCTAGAGCTTTTATTTTGCTAGTTTGCATGTGTTGCTTTCACTCGCTAACATCTGAAAGCCAGTGAGATGCCTTGCAGTGACACGGATATTTACCACTTTCAACGTAGGGGTGAGTTCCTGTCCATAGAATCTATACTAGTCTTTTCTGTCTCCATACCCCTTTCTCTTGAAGGCTGTAGGCATGTGACACGCCCCTTCAGAGGAAACCTCGTCTGTCAAATTGACGGCCAGGAACAGAATTGTACCATCTCCTGTTGGCAAGGCTACTCATTCAGCCGGGCCGTTCTGCCCTTCTACCAATGTGGTCCATCTACCAACTACAAGTGGTCCCATGAGACAGGAGACAACCCAAGACTGGCCCTCCCGCAGTGTACAAGTAAGTAGGATATCAGGGAAGTGACTTTGCATAATCATGTACTGCAGTTCAAGTTCAGTCTGTTATTGTAAAGTTTGCAAGGGGCAAAAGGGCATGTACTATCGGACCAGGCTAAATGACCCGCTCTGCAAAAAGGATAATAAGTCGCGCATTGCCAAAACATGTCATAGCCTGTTCTATTTGGAGAGGGCAAAGTTTCTTTAAAAACATGATTTTGTGTTTTTTCCTTTAATAGCTTGTATAACATTTATATTTTCATAATTTGTGATTGCAAACACTGATGCTGATGAAGAAAGATGAAAAATTGATAATTCAGTAAGAAATCCTTCATAGCATTTTGTTTCCAAGAACTACATGTTCTGAGCTTTTTCTAAAAATTCTTTTATTGAATTTGAAAATGTGGATATACAAATGTCTGTATATCTCTGGAATGCAGCGCACTACAGGGGTCATTCATATATCAACTTGTAGCTTTTGATGTACACAGTCCAGCCATATCAAAATCTCCTAACCTGAATCTGGTGACTTATTACCCATTTTTCTAGAGCCGGTCGCTAATACAGTACACTGTAATTGGGAAGGGAGAACGTTTCGTGACCCCACGTCATAAGCGACCAATAGCAAATTAGCGCGTCGCACGTGAGGCGTAGTCGTGCGTAAAAGGGAGCCTGGATGTTTTAGACGCGTTCCTGTGTGTAGTGTTGAAGACAAGGGAAGGGAAAATATGTTAGTGGCAGAGGAGTGAGTTGGCGGAGGCTGCACCAACAGCTGTCCGAATGATTAAGTTGAGATTAATCACTTTACCCAACATACAGATATTTGCCTGGAGTGCCGGGGATTACAGTAGCGGCTGCATATAATAACAGACCAGTGATTTGCAAACAAGCTGTAACTGTGTGTAGGCTTAGGCCTGTGTGTAGACTCTGTAGTCTGATTGGTGTCGATGCTCGCCAAAGGGTTCTGATTTTCACTGGGAAAAAGATCCCAACTCGATTCATCCGAATCACCCATTGCATTTCATTACATCAGTGCAGATTCACTGAAACTAGAATTTGACTTCCCCTTTCAGATGTATTGAGACATTTTTCAGAAGTGTACAAAGTTTGGCACGGACAGCTTTGTCGATTTATCAAGTTACTTAAATGAAACCTCTGCTTGTATAATTCTGCTGGCCTCAAACATCCATAGAGGTAATAAAAGTAATCTGACAGGGGCATTGAACACAGCAAATCAGTTATGGTGCCAGTTTTGAGGTTGAAGTTTGTTGCCTTTGTACTGCCTGTCTAAAGGTTGGAGGTTCTCTGTCATCTTTCTGTGTTCAGCAATCCCATTCAACAGTGCTAGCATTGTGATTCTAGACATGGTTGCCAGCCACACAGTATGTCAGGGCTTCGTGGTACTTGTTAGAAGCCCCAGAACGAAGATCATCTGTAGGTTTCAATATCACGCCAGTTGGTTTTGTAATCTCAATGCGAGAGCTAGGCTTGAATCCCGCATCTGTGTTTTCCATGTTTCAGTCAGTTTTGGAGGTTTCGATCCTGCTGAAGTTGGTTGGTTTAGTTTGAAGTAATAAGTGTCATTGTCTCAGTTGCCTCAGCATTCGTATCTCTTGCAGAGTACAGGCCACCAAATAAGGTTGCCATGGAGATGAACCTGGAATACAGTACTAACTTGACCTGTGATGGGTTTGACCCCGCTAGAGACAGCCTGGTTCATCAGACAGTCAGAGACAAAATCACCTTGAACGTAAAGACACTCAGCTGTGTGCAGGATAACTCATGTAGTGTGAAACGTGCCCAGGTAAGTTAACTGGAATGAGATTAATAAAGGGAATACACAGGTGTGATGAGCTGATTTCTCTCTTGTGATTAATGATCAAAGAGGGGGCGTGGCTACTGTGACTAGACAGTTCTGCCAAATGCATGTCCACTGAGACTGCATTTAAAAATATAGCTTCGGCTGAGAAAGACACCTTTACCAATGGAAACCATTGGTTAGTAGCCACGGCCACTTCCCATGGGTGTGTATGTTAAGCCCTTTTCACATGACGACAAAAAAACTCGAAATGTTTGAGGAATTTACTCATGCTTGAGAAATCTTACAAAAGTGCCATCGTATGAGAGGTTGCCAATGCTTGAGAGTGACAAGCATTCCTGGTGAATCCTTGAGATATTTTGGAGGAGGTCAAGACCTACAACAAAATCTTCTGGAAGATTTCTCAAGCAACCCATGAGAAGCGGTCGTGTGAATGGACGCACTGTTTATTGTACAACGTCTCTGTGATAACCTACACAGTGCACATGCGTAGTGACCTCCAATCCCACACAACGCGCCTGTGCCATTAATTTCGTTTCAGGCATGTCCAGCGATCGTGGCACTGCTCGCCGGTGTGATTGGGAATACCTCCTGCGACTTCCCGCCACACGTGGCTATTGTGGACCATGCCATTCATTTTTGCCGTAATCGCCATGTTTTCCATGGTAGTTATAAGGCTGAGAGTTGCATCATACTCCCAGCCTTTCTTGGAACTTTTCTTCTTCTCGGTACTCTCCAAAACATCGGTTTCGGGAGAACGTTCTTTCGTCTGCAAGTTTGACTCTGCCGATGTAGCGTTGGCCATTTTTCATCGATGGTCTCCAACCTTTGACCTCACATTGCGCTGGTACTAGCGGTATTTGCGCTCAGTAAGTGTGGAGGTCACTGGCAACACGCTGAATTGTGTTTGTGTCTCAAGGAATGCTTGCGAAATGTTACACAGTGCTGTGTGAAAGGACATGATCGCAGTTTATTATGTAAACGATCCCCACTCTGAAATTGTGTCTCAAGCCTTGCGAGTTTTTTTGTTGTTGTGTGAAAAGGGCTTTACACTCAGCCACAGCTCTGGACACAGCCAGAGCTGATGTAGTAGAGAGCTGTGTGATACACTCAGCCACAGCCGGTTGATCTGGACACAGCCAGAGCTGATGTATTAGAGAGCTGTGTGTTACTGTCAGCCAGAGCCAGTTGATCCAGACGTAGTCTGAGCTTATGTATTACAGAACCTTCTTGAAGACCACTAGTTGTGATGTGTACTTCACATTCCCTTATCATACCTCAGGTTAGTGGCTGCAGTACCCAGAGTCCAGCAGACCACACCCACAGACGGCGCCGCCGCCGATCAGTTGAGCCAATTGAAATTGCCATCAGGTTGGAACGTGACGTCCATGTCCCTGACCGAGAGAACCTGACTAGTGAACAAGGTGAGAGGATGATGGCCGATCTCATCAGTGTAGAATAGTTATAAATCTGTAGCATAGTTATAAATAAAACCAAATCAGATTTGGTTTGAGTGAGTAAATACTTGCAGCAAGGTTAATCTGTCATCCAGTACAGTGGAATGCCGCTGTAATGAACACTGCTATACTGAACATTCGGAAACACTGAACATCCCCCGAACTCCCAAATTTTCTGTGTACTATTATTGAACATGACAAGTTTGTTTTGAATAAAAGAGACCTGTTTAGAACTGATATGATAACTCTAACATTGCCGTCACAATGGAACAACGGCCCACACGTGGCTTGTTCTGCATTGTTCCTGGATAGCTAACATTGCATGTATGTGTGTGTGTCCCCCCAGGCAGCTGCATAGAGCAGCTTTAAAGTAAGTGTATATGCGTGTAGCAATACTCATGATTTTGTGTGGAAAGCTTTGCATGATGATAGCTACAAATAACTGTCTATTCTCTTTCTCTGTCCATCCTATAAAGTGACCAGTCAAAACAGCACTGTGGATGCTGCCAATGAACTCCAACAGGCAGCACGACATTTGATCAGCCAGTCTGTGTCGGGCCAGTTTGCCGTGAATGTTGACCATCAAGTTTACGACGTTGACACTGAGAGGACCCAGGCCTATGGCATGCAAGTCTGTCCCCATGGCTCAGTGCGCATGAATGCACAGGATGCGCGATGTGGTAAGCACTGCTTGCTTCAATGTTGGACTTTCTGGCCAATTTGATTTGGTTTTGACATTTCCTTTTAACCACTCACTTGTCAACAGTTGTTCCACAATGAACTTGTTCTGACCATAGTATTATTTCTTAGCCAAATTATCAACTTTTTGAAACAACATACCTCAGTCATTTGTTCAATATATGTGTAGATATCTTTCTGTGCCGTTGCTTATTGGAAACTCTGAGACAATGTGATGAAGTGATATTTGCTATGACACCTAGCTGTGGTCCATGGCTACTTTAGAGCTCCACACATGCTCAATATCTCCATGCATTAGATCAAGCCTCTGTTTGTGTACAGACTCAGTGAGAATCACTCCAGCATGGGAGCAAGTAGATGTCAACTGGTCCATCCCGCATGAAGTGGTTAAGAACTGTGGCTAACTGTTGACTGTGTATAATTGATGCACAGCATTATCCCAGTTCTTGAATGGTGGTGATAATCTGTGTGGTCTTTGTATGATTGATGATCAAGTTTCTTATGATGAGTATAATATGATGTGTTTACGTGTCCGTCAGTGCTGTTTACACAGACAGATGTTTCAATCCCCACGTGTCATCCACAGTGTGTCTTTTTAGCAGCTCTGTATGCTCATAAAACTTGAGCATTTATACTTGGAATATTAATGTAATTGCAAGATCCACACGGACATTGTAGCATTGAGCAAAAAGGTTTGCCAATAATCCCAGTGACAATTCTGTGCATGTATCTTCTCTGCTCAGTTCCCTGTGAGTCAGGCTGGTTTGAAAACCACGAGGTGTGTTATGCCTGCCCTCCCGGCATGTACCAGTCACAAGAGGGCAGCACCTACTGCCAAGCCTGTCCACGTGGACATACCACCGTTGGCCCTGGTGCCACAGGGGAAGACGATTGTGAAGTCACCACTCTGTAGTCCTTGACAAGTTACAAATTTGTTCGACCTCCATAACGTGTCAGTGAATGTAATTTTGAAGAGGAAATTGGTCATTTATGTTTCTTGTTTAAAGACAGTTGCAAAAAAAGAGAGACATGCAAGTAGTTTTTCTTCCTGGAAGGTAAAGTATTCTTCACAGGAATGGAAGATCAAATTCTGAATTTGAATTCTTGAACTTTCTTTTGATTCATGGAAATCTTCGACTAAATTGGTGAGGCTGTTTGTTGATTTTCCCACTGTCTAGCTATCAACTTCTAAGAATCTTAAAGTTTGATGAATTTTAGCTTTAATTTTTGGAGCTGAATTTGACAAAGTACGTGAAATTCAGTTTGCATATTTACTTAGTCTTTAAACTGTTAGATTTTATTTAGAGTATTACATTCAATATGACAAAGTTTACAACAGTAGTACTTCAGGCCAGGAACCAAAGGCCACCCTTAATGGCTACCACACAGATTTCTGATTGAAAGGATGTGGTACCGTTCAGACCAAGAAAATCATCAGTATCTATTCCATGTTCTTTTTTCTTCCAAGCAGACATACTTTCTGTAGTGTACTTTTGTCTTTTATCTAGCACAGTTGCTACACATTTACAGGCATTTCCTCTAATTTTCCATTTTTCTTGTTATCTTTTCCATTTTCTGCACTGATGAGAATGGAATCTAACTCACTTGGCTATCGAATAAGTTACTCAGTTAATGGATCCGTGAATAGACTATAGATGTGGATGCTTATCTCATTGAATTCATCTCAGCAAGATTCCAAATCTGACATGTTTCTTTAAGAAGGTATGTGTAGCAGTTTGGTAATAACAGAATCTCTCTCTCAGCATGAGCTTTGTTATGAATGATTGTCTTAGAAGGGATACATTTAAAATGGGACAGTTTTGCTATTCCTATTGGTCGAAACATGTCATGTCACCGTGTATTAACATTTTATACTGTCCTCTGAGAGGTGATAACGCCCTCTGCGTAAATCACGCGCTGGCACATGGATACGAGACAGTTTAATTGGGTCTGATTGGTTAGGAGTCTGTGTGCATGTGACACTCCATGTGCGCACCAAGTTCATTGATGGAGATTCTGTTGGACAACTTTTAAAAGGAATATACCATGAAATGGATGGGGGTGTTTGGGAAAATGAAAATAATTTTTAGAATAAAAGCATTGGAAACACATCATATATTGACTTCCATTGACTCTCTGAATAAAAAGGTATTTATGAATAAGAATAAATATGTGCTTAGCCGGTCTTAAACTAACATTTAGGACCTTGCTCGGGAGAACAAACGCTGATAATGCCCAAGCCTGTGCGGCTGGGGCATTTGTCACGTCTATTCTCCTGAGCCAGTTTTAAATGCACGTTTAAGACTGGCCCGGCAGATATTTATGCCCTTATTGAAGTATGATGGAATAGTGTTAAATTAGTCAGCTGAATACCGGCTAGAGACAGGGGACCAACCTTCTTCTTCTTCTTCCTTGAAGAAGTACAGCAAACTTTGACATGGACATTGCTGTTGTTGCGCCACCATTTTAAGCAGTCTGCCTTTGAAGTTGACACCTTTTGCCCCTCTTATTGTTGACTGTCTTAATGAAATGGAGGCACTGCTTGCAAAAAGTCCAGTGCTTAACCCAGGGTAATTTCACCTTTGGTGTTTCAATCTTGTCCTCAACTCGGTTGTTGTCAGTGAAGTTTAAAGACTGTTTCCAGCTAAGTTTTATGGTTTTTCTTAAAACTCATAGCAAGTTAGAATTGGTCAGAATTGGTGTCACCTCCATCACCTAAACATTCTTTCTGTTCATTAAATGATCCTCTTTTTGATTGATAAAAATTCTTTTATGTATGTACTCAGAAGGAATGTATTTGTGGAAGTAAAGGTGTGGATGTTTGCGTGTATTAAATAAAACTGTACCAGGAGTAAATTACTTTCTGCACATGCTGTTTGTAATAAAACTGCAGTGAGCACTGCACTAGCCTCTTGTCATCATTTGCCCGAGTTTGCAGACACATATTGTTACTTGTGATAGTGTGTTTAATATGGATTATAAAACTAAGATAAATGACTGTATGGGGGATATGGGAATCCAGGGACAGGGGACATGAGGAACATGCATCCCAACCCCCCCCCCCAAAAAAAAGAGAGAGAACAAAGAATTTTTGTGGCTGGGTTGTCAATTCCATTTCTCGTCTTCCCGAAACTCCTCAAATATGGCCTCACCCCTCAAAAAGATCACAGTAGGTGACATGAAGGTTACACTGTTACATTACAGTTTACATACTGTGCTACTTTGAAACAATTTCGGTCCCTCAAAAAATTGAATTCTGGATCTGCCCAGAGGGGGTAGGCTGTGATAAATATGCACCCTTCACCATTTGAAAATAAACTTGAAAGATAGAAAAATACAACTGAAAAAAGAATGGGAGAGGGACTGTGCGGTCTCATGTTCATTATCAAATCCCCCAAAGTTTTAAACTCTGCTTATCTTTCTCCGACCCCAGCATGTTGGAAACGTAGTTAAAATTTTAAATAATTCAATTAAATAATTGATTTTTTTCGCTTGAAAGAGGGCTTCCCTGATTTGTATTTAAACATTCCTAGATGACATTCACTCGTTTTAAAAAGGAAGACAAGAACATGTAAAAAAAATTGAAATTCGTTGAATGGTTATACATATGCAGTGTATTCAAATTATGATATGGCGTCAGGGTGAAGAAAAATGATAGGTCTACGGGATGTTCCCTGCCTCTGTGATTGGCTGACAACTGGGCGGAATTTTGTTTCCTTTCAAGGTGCAAGACCACATGCCGCGTACGGATGTACAAGAATTCGCAGCAGAAATAGGCATGGGCGACGTTGAATGGACGCCATCAATGTGAGGCCTTTTTTGCACTAAAACAGATGTTAAATTGCATGTTCTGATTTGGGAGGTTGAAGAAAAAACATACGGGAAGAATTCCACATATGGATGCCAGTAATTATTTCCTGTGTACAGTGGCCTATAATACCATTAGAAAGCAAAAAAATGTCCAGAAAAGTTCAATTTAGAAGGGAAAATACCTGTTTACTTGAAAAAAAAAAACACTTGGAATTTTTCAGACCAGTCTCCTATGACCTGGGGTTTGTGCACCGGGTTTCATGTCAAGTGGCATATGTATACGGAACTCTTTCCAAACATTGAAAGCAGAAAAGAAAAAGATGAAAAGAGATGGAAATTGCTAATTTCTTTGAAATGCCTCAGCATTGATCCCTCATCCATTGTTCCTTGATGGTCAGTCTGATATTGTTGAGTGTTTTTCATCTAGAAAGGGTCACGGTCCCGTCTTGGTGATACCCAGATTGTCAAGTGCATTACATGTCAAGACTACGTCATAATCTCAAGGCAATGAAATTTCTTGACCTCCAGGAGGTGCAGGAGATGAAACAAGAACCCACAAGGGGAGTGGCATCAGATGACCTACTGGAAACGATGCTGGGATGGCTTGTAATTGAATAGTGCTCAGAATAAATTCGTAAGTATCTACAGGGGTTGACATTATTCATAATTGTCTTATCTTCCAGTCTTGGAGTCATATTTACAATTTATCAAAAGTGACCACATCTTATTCCTTTCTAAAAGAAAATGCTCTTGCCCTCCCCAAAATGGTTGCAGCTGATTGCAACTGACACAGGCAGGGGTGATAGACCCTGCCTGTGCACTGCAAGATAAAATAAAATCAAACAATTTGGCCGACAATGTTACAACCTGTCCTTGCTAGTGGACTTTTTTATAAACAGAAATCAGCATTTGGCCAAGTCATGAAGTCACCAATTAAGGTGTGTGAACGGACCTTCAACTTGAAGTCAGAACACTGACAGGTAAGAATCACAAGCCCTTGCTAGTGTGATCTGTTCCATGCTTCATCAAAACTAGAATGTGAAAGTTGAGGGGGCACCTAAGACTAAACCCTGCCCCATGAGAGGACCTGTCATAAGTTGAGTGGCCATGCCCCCAGTCAGAAATGTGAGGTTCCCCGGCGCCCCACTTTTTGCACCAATGGTATGTGATATCTGAATGTCCAGATCCTGGTGTAAATGGGTCTGCTAGGCATATCAACACTGAACATGTACATGCTCATACTGGTCCCTGATGGATACATGTAAAATATTTACTGAAGTTGGAAGGAAATTGGTTCTATTTTTTTCCTGAGTTGGTTTGTAATCTAAAGAGTATAGTTGTCTTCAAAACAATTGAAATTGTTTCTCTAGTTAGCATGACGGCATGTGGCAGCATGGAGTTTAAGTAGTG